TACTATTGCAGGCGCCTTTTTAGGCCTAACAAAACGTCCGTTATTTATTTTATGTCAATCCCTTCAAGTTATTCTGATCTCTTTCGCCGTGTGTTGGTAGCTACCAAAGTAGCAATGTCCATTCAGCTACTGTAATAGTGATGCTGTAGTTATAGTAATAATGTATTTAATGTCATGACACAGAGAGTGGTTACCCATTCTCCCGAGCCAGGGGCTCGTGATAAAAGTGTTCGACAAAAAAAAGCTATAAAAATACAAAAATAATGTGAAAATATATATGGGTCATTGACCAAGCGTGAGGTTAAGATGGCTGGATATTGGCCAAGTTCTTTTTTTGGCGTGTTTATAGACCGAGACAGGGTCAAGGACCATAAACACGCAAAAAAAAAAAAAAGAATTAGGCCAATATCCAGCCATCTTGACCAAACAAGCTTGATCATTAGAGGATTTATTATATGGAAAAAGAATACTATAGGAGTACTACAGCGCATAATCCCGAGTGGGCAGGAAAGCCCCATCTTGCCCTCTCGGGTAGCCAATCACAATGCAGGATTGGGTTCTTCTTCCCCGCTCATGCATTATTTGAGCTATTTGTTGGTTGACCTAAGACTTGAGAGGAGGTTGACTGCAACTTTCTTACTGGAGCTTCTTTATCATCCACAGCCTACCAGTATGATTCGTCTTTCTCGGCGATACAAGAAAACACGATGCAGACCCAGTAACTTGAAAGAAGCCATGAAAGCGAACATCTATTTTGCTCCTCCTGGGTTCGACTTGCCAGCTTATACCGTGCTAATTATCAGAATGTTTGAAAAGTTCAGAAGGCGGTTGTATGTGGCACAGTCCAAAGTCAAAACACGCATCCCCTGGGGAGCCCCCGTACTTCCCGGTACTAGAGACACACTGGAGCTACAGCTGCCTAGGAGGAGTACTGCTTCTGTAGGGACCCGGAGTTCCGTTTTCGTTAGGAATTCTCTGCATGGAGGTGAGTTATTGTCAGCAGTTCTCACTAATTTCTCAAGCTCGAGAATACATGCAATTCATCAATGTTAAACAAGATTAGTCATGACCGTGACGGTGTGTGGATATCTGATCTTAATTCGCGTAGATTTTTACTTAGATGGCTTACCATTGACCAAGAGAGCATGAAGAGTAAGACAGTTAATCCTCCATATACACTCTATTTCCCAAGGTAGTCCCTCGCAAGTTATTTTTAGATCACTATCCCAGGACGGTCAAGAAATAAGCGATTCTGTGAAGCGCATTTTGATCCTCCTCGTAAATATCCACGCAGCGTGCGTGACAACATTATCCGCGGTAGGACTTGGTACCATGGCTAAACATTGCAAAAAAAAAAAAAAAAAAAAAGAACGAGGCCAATATCCAGCCATCTTGTCCGAACAAACTTGGTCAATAAAGGATTTATTATATGGAAAAGGAACACTATTTTCTTGCGGGACGTAGCGGGTTATCCCGATTGGGCGAGGAAGCGTCATCTTGCCCGCTCGGGTAGCCAATCACAGCGCAGGATTCGGTTCATCTTGCCGACTCTCGGAGCCAACCATGTGATAAATAAGCTCATATGTGTGATCACTTGTTCTTGTATTCCACAAGTTAATCATTGGATTTTTTTTTTTTTAAATAACAGCAGGAGCAGATACCAAGAGCCAATCAGAATTTGACCTTTCTGATCGCAGAAGAAGCTTGAGGAGCTCATCAAACCCTGTAAAGCAAGCAACGGCCTCCACCTCCACAAGCAAAGCACCCAGTGCAACTGTACCACCTTATACAGTTGACAGCGATAGTGATGATGGTGAATGTTTGAAATCTTACCTGGACGAGATGGCTCGCCCATCGAGCTCTACTAAAAAGCCAGCGCCGAGCTTTTCACGGAATCGAGGACGTTCTAATATAGAGATTGCGGAGGACTGGGAAACGGGAAAAACAGAAGCATCAGGCGAATCATCCGTTAAAACACAAACTAAGTCGAGCAGTGATGGAGTTACTTCCAATGTGGAAATTGCCGATGATGGAAAAGAAGAGACTAGAGAACCTGTAGTTGGTGATCAAGGCAGTTTGGACGATGCCAATGTTGTTTCAGACCGTGAAGCAAGTGAAGTTCAGTCAAGTACGGTTGGTTCGTCAGCTGGGACACTAGAAAATAATAGCAAAGTAACAGTGAGTTCTGGAACAGGTCAAACAAAGCTGGACAATAAGAATTCATCGAGTGAGGGTGGAGTTTTACCTGACAGTAGAACAGCTAGCAATGATTTGAGTTTGATGGACATTGACCAAGAAAACAAAGCAGAGATAATTCGGCCTTCTAAACGCCGAAGTGTCTCGCGGCCGGTTATCAGCGATGATTCAACCGATGATGAGGGCGACTTTTCTCGACCATTGCTTTCTGTGCGTTTCCCTGGAAAGGAAACTTCAGTTAGTAGTGAGGTTCCTGATAGCGGAGATGTTGCCGGGACTCACGATCAAGACCCACTTGCTGGTCAGTCTCTAACCCCACAGAGTGACTCTCAAGGAATGGTCGGCAAGAGTATNAATTGCACATTTCTTCTTATCGATTAAAGCCAAGTAGCGTGTTGAACGTTGACTACAATAATTGTGTTTCTGGGTTTTTCTCCAGTTCATACTTAAGCAATTCTTTGTTAATCTCCCTCTCTTGTCCACCAGCTCTCTTGATGACTTGCCCTCCACGAGTGAGCCAAAGGATGCCGAGACCGACATGCGCGAGTCCACCGTAGAGTGTCCGCTGTGTTATCAGCATTTTACTTCAAAAGAGATAGAAGCCCATGCTTCCGACTGCCAGGGCCCACCCACACAGAGAGAGGAGACTGGTGCTAGGAGCGAGTCTGGGCCGAGCATCAGAAGGTGAATGTTTGGATAAAGTGTTCTACTGCTGTTTGGCGCTGTGTAATGAAACATTTTAAGAAAAATACTACAAATATCAGAATTTTTGAAGTTTTAAGAGATTTTATTAAGGATTGATAGCTTTCTTACTGTTGGAGCAAGCTGGATATAGCAGCTTCATGTAGTTCTTTCTACGAGATATTGAAGAGATATGAAGCTTGGTTTCCATTGTATGATGGTGCCATTTACCTCACACGGGATGCCATTTTCGTTGATTCTGTTGCATACAAACTCAGCCTCCCGTGGAATAAAAAGTCTAAGCAATAGATTCTGGTTGAAAGTTCAGAAAACCAAAAGAGAAACTCTAGAAAGCAAAATAACTAGTAAGAAGACTACTAGAAGAATTCTTTGTCTTCCCACCATCTTTGCTTCTTTGTCAGGATTTGTTACTTGGGTTTTGTTTCAACCCTCATAGACGTTTTGCATGGTGACCATGTCGGATGACAGGAACAACAGAATATTCCATTTCCGAGTTACCTTTCACCTCTGTGTCAAAGCGAGTTTTTATGCGAAACTATTCTTGTGAAAATGTGTTCCCCTACGGGTTCATTTGCACGCAAATCACGCTCATTTTCATATAGCAGGTTTTGCACGAGAACTCGTTTTAAAAAAGAGGCCCAAGCGAACTCGGGAATCGCCTACTTTTTTTTTTTTTCTTTCATGAGAAAAATGTTCATTTTAATGCAAAACATTTTCATTGTTTCAGCCACCTAACATGGCCGCCTTGAAAAACCTCTATTAACTACTGTTCCAGCTGTTTGCTTCAGGCCCTTTGATAGTCGCCATGAGAAAAAGAAATCAGTATGGATATTTTCTCAAATTATATTTTTTCAAAGAGACCTTTAGATACTGATAGAAGTGTGCGTGTGTTTGGCTAAGAGGATCGGACCTTACAATAGGAAACTACTACGAGCGCGTGTGAACAGGAGACCAATTTTTGGCAGGAAAAAACGTTGACAGCTGCCACGCAGGAGTTGCAGGGCAACCCCGGTTGAACAAAGCCCCAGGTTTCAATGTAGTGACTGCTGAAGTAAACCCTACTTTGCAAACCAATTTTGGTCAACTTGGTTACCTCTACAAACCAGTTGTGTATAATGTTGTACATTACCGTGGTGTTTAGAGGGATGTTTGCAGCGCTGCTTGTTTTCGCTGCTTGGACTTCGCAATTTTTTGTTATATTCTAGTGAATTTACAATTTTGGCACCGGAAACTTTCCCTGTTGTTAGCGGGAATTTGTTTTATAGGAGCTGGATGAGCCAACCAGTTTGTTGTTTGTATCGTTGTAGCCGCGGTTGCACTACAGCTTCAAAGTCGTCCTAACTAGTGACATTAGGGAGCTTAAGTAACGACGACGGCAACGCCGAGTCACAAATGAATTTATACTTTACCTGCGAAATTCGCAATTTTCTATATCTGTTCAGGACGCTAAATGCGTTCCTCAGATCACGGAGAACTTGGTCATTTCACGTTGTTGTTTTGCAGAGGACGGCAACTAAAATGTACAAAGATTTATAAAGCACGTGCCCAGCCATTGTTCTGCTCATTTAATCTTTTGTTTGGTGGCGTTCTCGTTCCAATGGTCGTCGTGGTTTGCTTAAGCTCCCTGTTGCCTATGGAACTGAAGTTTTGTGAACTATAGAGGAATAATTCTGAACTTGGGCTGCTCCTTTTTGCAGTGTTCCTGCTCGGGCTGATACGAACCCGTTGCCTTCAGTCTACCGAACTTTATCAGGCGAAAGAGGAGAATTAAAAAACTTGAAAGTGGTGCTTCAGAGGTCGCCTGTCGCGAAACAGAAGCTCCTCCGGAAAGCAACACAAGAAACGGAGTCCGTCAAGCGAAGTCTTGCGTTTGAAAAGGATTCCAGACCTTCTGGAAGCCTTGATCAGTGTCGCAGTTCTAGAAGCTCTGGTCAAGATTCGAGAAAACCTAGCAGGAACACCAGAGCAGCCCTAAGGACAGAATCAGAGAGCGAAGAGAGTGGGTACGCGAGAGAGAAAGAAGAAAGCAGTTCAGCGGAAGTCTATAGCTGGCTTGACGCATCAAGGTCTTGATTTTATTTACTCATTTAATGTATTTATTTGCACACTACTGAACCTTTATTACAGTGGTGTTAAAATTTGCCAAATAAGTTCGGGCAGGTCATTGGTCAAAAATGGTCACGTGGTGGCATAACGTGCTTGNAATGTTTTACATTACCGCGGTGTTTAGAGGGATGTTTGCAGCGCTGCTTGTTTTCGCTGCTTGGACTTCGAATTTTTTTGTTATATTCTAGTAAATTTACAATTTTGGGACCGGAAACTTTCCCTGTTGTTAGCGGGAATTTGTTTTATAGGAGCTGGATGAGCCAACCAGTTTGTTGTTTGTATCGCTGTAGCCGTGGTTGCACTGCAGCTTCAAAGTCGTCCTAACTAGCAACATTAGGGAGCTTAAGTAACGACGACGGCGACGCCGAGTCACAAATGAATTTATATTTTACCTGCGAAATTCGCAATTTCCTATATCTGTTCAGTACGCCGATGACTCTTAAAACGTGCTCAAACTAAATATGCAATGACAGCGTTCAATTCCAAATGGAAATGCGTTCCTCAGACCACGGAGAACTTGGTCATTTCACGTTGTTGTTTTGCAGAGGACAGCAACTAAAATGTACAAAGATTTATAAGGCACGTGCCCAGCCATTGTTCTGCTCATTAAATCTTTTGTTTGGTGACGTTCCCGTTCCAATCGTCGTCGTGGTTTACTTAAGCTCCCTGTTGCGTATGGAACTGAAGTTTTGTGAACTATAGAAGAATAATTCTGAACTTGGGCTGCTCCTTTTTACAGTGTTCCTGCTCGGGCTGATACGAACCCGTTGCCTTCAGTCTACCGAACTTTAACTGGCGAAAGAGGAGAATTGAAAAACTTGAAAGTGGTGCTTCAGAGGTCGCCTGTGGCAAAACAGAAGCTCCTCCGGAAAGCCACACAAGAAACGGAGTCCGCCAAGCGAAGTCTTGCTTTTGAAAAGGATTCCAGACCTTCTGGAAGCCTTGATCAGTGTCGCAGTTCTGGAAGCTCTGATCAAGATTCGAGAAAACCCAGCAGGAACACCAGAGCAGCCCTAAGAACAGAATCAGAGAGCGAAGAGAGTGGGTACGTGAGAGAGAAAGAAGAAAGCAGTTCAGCGGAAGTCTATAGCTGGCTTGACGCATCAAGGTCTTGATTTTATTTGTTGATTTAATGTATTTATTTGCACACTAATGAACCTTTATTACAGTGGTGTTAAAATTTGCCAAATAAATTCTGGCAGGTCACTGGTCAAAAATGGTCACGTGGTGGCATAACGTGCTTGTCGCCGATAGAGAAGCACGTGTGCGCCATGTGCTGATCACGTGCACAGGACCCATTAAAATCACTGACTGCTTGTTCNCAGTAGAAAGTGACGAAGATGATGCCACTGGAAAAGCTTCCAAAGAACAGGCGCCTAGAAAAACGTTTTCCAGAAGAACCGAGGAAGTGGAATCCGATAGCGATACATCTGATGATGGTCTTATGGTGCAGTACGGCGCGCAGCGCGTCTCGCCGCGAAGGAAAGACCCCAAACAAGTGACAACAGACGAGACGGACGAGAACGAAGTTGCGCTGGCGCTGCTTGGAGGCAGGAGCAAGAAGAGGCCGCTGTCGTTGTCCAAAGGTTCAAAAGCCAAGAAGTCTCGCCGGCCGAGGGATTCAGACAGCGAGGAAAGTGACGAGGCCAGTATAGTTTGCGAGCTTTGTGCCAAGAAGATTCCGAAAGAGTTGTACAGGCAGCATGTGGATGAAGAACTGGAGACGAGGAAAAGAGCCAAGAAAAATGTTCCTCGTAAAGCAGAAGGTGCTTAACTACACATTGGCTTAACTTTATAGAGTCCAAGATTACATAGCACTCAATGAGATACTTAAACAATACTTTCATTTTGATTTATTACTTCACTATTATGTTATTTTCTAGGATTTCGGCTTCTAATTGTCATCCGAAAATCGTATTGTGCATAAGGCACGTGCGAATGACGAAAACAATATACGGCTCTACAGTGCAATACGGGCTCTTATTTTTCCTAATATGGTAAAATGACGTAATCGTTGAATAATTTCTTTTATCTAACGACTCGTTTTGTAACTAGCGATAAGGTATAGACATGAATGATCATCGCAGTTATGTAGACAACTTAAAAGAGCGCATTCACAGCATTTTGACTTGATTTTTGCCACGTACAAAATTACTTTTAAATTGAAGGAAACCTTAAAATAGTAGTTTACTAAGAGAGAAAAACACCAAAGAGAAAATAATAAAGCATAAAGGAACAAAAATGGTTAAGGATGGAAAAGATTAACACGGATTACAAACAACGAACTTGAAAAATTTAGGCTAAACTTTTCAAGATGTACAGACGTAGCTACTTCAAACAGCTGTGAAAATAAAGCGTGAAAAAAAATTCAAGCCTGAATTTTCTATTTCTTTATTTAAAGGCTTAAATTTCTTAGCATCTCGAGTTGTGCACGTAACTGGGATGATTATTCATGACTTTGCATCTTTCTCCGCAGTTCAAATATACGATCTTTCACTTATTCAGCTTGCATAGTTAATTTTTTTTTTTTTTACTGAGTTATTTCCTTTGATGTTTGATATCTCCAGTAGTCACTATGACAGACAGGAGACAAGGGAGCAGAAAGGATGAACAGAGAAGGTAACTTCTGTTTTTGACTCACGTACCTTACTATCACAAACGGTCTGGTACACTAATAGTCTCTGCGTAGCTCAGTAGTTAGACGGCCTGCATTGTGTCTGGGAAAACCAAGCTCACGATCCTCCTTATAAAAATGGTCTGATATTCTCCAAATTACTATAGTCAAACCTCCATGAAGCGGCCACCTGTTCAGCGGCCACGCCTTGTGAGAGTAAGCGGCCAGTTTTCAAAGTCTTGAAATGGCCAATTCCCACGGTGAGATAGGCCTGCAGGGAATCATGGTAGTTGTATTCATCATCTTGGGCTGGATATTTGTTTTGATGAATACAACTACCATGATTCCCTGCAGGCGCATCTCATAGAGCGAATTGGCCATTGTTGTCAGTAAAGTACTGTAAATAAAACCCCTGTTAACCGGCCACCTCTATAAGCGGCGGCGGCGGCAGGCTTCTGATCGTCCCGCTGAAGGATTTTCATTGTCTTCCTTGCCCCAAGTATTCAAAAGCGGCCACCCGACCTCGGTCATTTGTACAGACCTAGCTGCGTTCGGTCTGTACTCACGACCTCGGTTAAGATTCTCCCATACAGACCTCCTGCTCGGTCAATAAGAGCTAAAACTTGACGTTTCTCCTGAGCCGCATACTAAAAACCCTATTAAGCGGTCGACCCCTATTAAGTGGCCATCTCCCATTTTCCCGAGGGTGGCCGCTTGATAGGGGTTCGACTGTATGACTTAACATTCCATCTCAAAGATTCGGTTAACGAAACAAATTTGTATTCTCATCCCTTGCCATACTCTGTTCTGTGATTGAAGGTCGAGCACGAGGGTACAAGCACAAAAGATCGTCCCATGTGCAAGTACGGCCACAGAGGACACTGAAAATGATGAGGTGGACTGGGACAGAGTCAGTAATTCTCCTATCAAGTGTTTCCAATTCACAGAAAATAGCAACAGTGTCGTGGACTTCGAGAATCAGTTTGAACACCTCAAAGAAACCAAGTCTGGCAACAGACGATCGAATTACGGACAAAATGACGACTCATCAAGGGGGAACCGAGGGGGGTATAGGGGGTTCAGTGCCCGTGGGGGATACCGAGGGTCCGGTAACAGGGGTAATTATAGAGGATCGTATAAGAAGGTCTACGGGCGCGGGAAGAAATATGGGAAATACAGGGGATCGCGTGGGAGAAAGTGATGTGTATGGTACTGGGTACCTGGGTTGAATAAGGTGGGACACGTTGTGACACTTATGTGTAGGTTATAACAACTTAAAACAGCTTTGGTAGAGAAGAACGCTAGAACATCTTTTGTGTTGAGAAGTGCACAGTGTTGTTAGAGTTAGAGTTCTACGTGCCGTACCATACCACTTGACGAAGGTTTTTCTTAATTTTTTAGAACGTTTTGACATGCATTTGACAAATGTTCTAATTCTTACTGTCGTTTGGTCAATGAAAACGAGAGATAGACTTGTCAGTCGACTCCACCCCTGTCACGTCTTTCATTTTCAGTAGTCCAAACGAAAGCTGTCAGAAAGATCTCAAACGATATTAGGAAGTTTTCGAAAATTGGTGAAAACTTTGTCAAGTGGAAAAAAAATGGTGAAAGGTATTTTGCGCACTGATCTGCAGTATCTCTAGGGTTAAGCAATGATTTAAGAAATCGTTCAGCATGGGAAACGCTATATATTTTTGCTGAATTCATTCTCGACACTTTGCCTGGCTAGCATACGACTGCTTGGAAAAGGCAACATGTCATGCAAGCATTTAAAGATCTTCTGACACTTCGCAATTGGTGTAATGTTTAGCTCTTTTGGAATAATAATGAAAGATAGGTAATCAGCAGGAGCCATAATCGGGGACGGAGAC